GTCGCCGGAGAGCACAAGAAGTCCAATTAGCCTCATTTTCAGAATGCTTATAGTATTTAAGCAAACAAGTTCTCCACAATGGAACCTTAACCCCTTCTACTGATACCCAAATGTTGCTCTTCCATTTCTTAATCCCCTCTCTCCGTGAATGCTTCTCAAACTCCTCTGGTGTCAGCTCCCCTAATAAGCACAATGCCATTTAAATAATTAAATGTTCGACAAAATTTAAAAGTATACGGACTAAATTGTTAGACGATACCAGCATTGCAGGCGTCGGAGCAGAAGCAGAAGATGAGGAACTGGCCGGCGGCGGACACTCTGAGCTTACCAGGGGAATCGCCGTATTTCTTGCTGGTGCAGCCGCAATGGACCTCTATGAAATCCGACCCTTTAACGAACCCTCCCATTTTCTTCACTTCTTCTTCTTCAAGCAATCCCCATTTACCTTTTTCTCTCATTTCAACCCTAATTCTTCTTCTTCCTCCTCTTCTTTGCTCTGGTTTAATGTTGCTGTTTCTTTAATGGTGGATGAAGAATTTAAATGCTGTTCTTTTTGGGTTTTGCAAATCGTTTTCCCCTAAGAAAAACGATTGGTTTTCCCATAACAAAAAACCCTTCGAAGGATCATATGATTTGATTTCATTTGGTTATATATATATATATAAATATATATATGAGATTTTGTTCTGAAAAATGTGTCTGGAGAAGCAAAGATCTTACCGATTTACGTGTTTGAATCAAATTTACTCATTCATATGTCCATTTAATCCGCGGGTCAAGTCTTGAATAGAAAAATCGGGAGATTTATACTATATTATATTGTTAAAATTGAATTTATAAAGATATTTTATGTTTTCTAATAGAAAAAAATGATTAAGAATCTAATCCCTACAGATTTTCAACAGAGAATTCACCCGATCTTCACAAAATTAAATAGAGAATTTCGTGGAAATATGAAACAAATAGGAGGTAGGTTTCCTGTCTCCCCGCCTCGCCTCGTATATGTCTTTATTCACCTTAAGTAGAGGTAAATGTGTCTTTAACTTTGTTGACATAAAAATTAAAAATAATAAATAATTACGCAAAATTTTTAAAAAATAAATAATATATATGATTCTCTACCTATTGTTGAGCTTATTAACAAGTCTCACTAATTCTACCGTGAAAAACTCGAACCAAGGTTTAAGTATTTCAGATCGAAGTAATCCAGATCAACAAAATAATTATATGGTAATTTGTGGAAGACAAACCAGCCAATTAATTTTTTTATCAATATTTTTCCATATATATTTATATACATAAAGTCGTTACGATTATAATATAGTCAAATTAATAGAATAATCATAATCTCGTTATGCTAACTAAAAATATTTACCGACTGTTTGGATTACCTAATAGTTTTTAAAATAATTGAAAAAAAATTTTAGAATAAAAATACTATTATTTTTTAAAGTATTTTAAATAACAATTTTATTTAGTTACACTTCTATTGATTATAAATTCATTATTTTTATTATATATTACAAGTATTAAATTTGTATTAATTATCAATACTGATTTAACCACATTAACAATGATAAAATATGATAATTTCTTTATTTTTCTTCTGTTAAAATATAATTCTATTTAAAAATCATTTGATTTTAGACCGTGTTTTGAAGCGTTTAAATTTAATTTTTTATTTTTAATAAATATTTTATTTTGTAAAATGATATAATAAATATATCTTTATGTTTATACTCGGTTAACATAAATATGATTGGATAATTAAAATAATATCATCTGTATCAGTTTCAAATTTCAATAAAAAAAATTAATTTTTTAAATTTAATCCAGTAAAGCATCCTAATATTAAGTTAAATTAATAAAAGTATTTTAAAAATTTTCACTTCAAACAAAATCTAAAAGATACTCTTAATTAAAAATAAATAAATAAATAAATACTCGTACTCCTAACTTGATGGAATATGTTACTATTTTATTTAAAAAATATTTTTGAACCTTCAAGTTTTCATTAATACCTTTAAACATTTTTAAAACAATAAAAAATACTCTTATCATTTGTACTCGTTTCAAAAATATTTATGGATTTTTCAAAATAATATTAGTATGCAAATAATCTATTAGATGTCAATATTTTCGTCCATATATTAACAATAAAAAATTTGAACCTTTTTTAATTTAGTAGAGACGATTAATATTACTTTTAAAATATTATTAAATTGTTTTTAAACACTAATATTTATTTATTTTTAGTTAAGAAAAGGAATTAATAAATTTTTTTAAGATGAAGTATATTTTTTAAATAAAATATTAACTTTTGAGTATTTTTTTTAAAGAATTAAAATATTTAAGCTGATTATTAAATTTTTAAATATTTTTTAAAACAAAATACAAGGTTGAGGTATTTTATTATTATTTTTAATTATGAGTTTAACCTATATTTAAAATGATAATAAAGTTTTTAAAGTATTTTTTTATATGGTAACTAGAAAATTTTTCACTTGAAAGCATATAGTTTAAGATACTAAATTTTTTAGATGACATGTAATTATCTCGTGAAATTAGTTAAAGTATAATATTTTGTTTTCTTCAATTTGATAAGTAAAATATTAAATATTTTTTTATAAAAAAAAATTTAATACAAACATACACATCATACAAACTCAATTTTGTATATAAATTATTTATTTGTATAATTCAAATACTATTATATAATATTTTTTTTTCTTGCTAAATAAAAAGTATATAATATAATCATATTTAGGTAGAATATTTGAGGTAAGATCTACGGCTATGCCACGTAGACGTCACGTTGTATCCCACTTTGTCACCTAGTGGAACTTACGTCATCACTCTTATTCTTCTTTCTTTTCAAAATAGGTTTAAAAACTATATTGTTTAAATAGCGGTGAAAATAGTTCAAATATATATTATATATAATTTTAGATTTAGAATTTTAAATTTACTTCTATTTTATTTCTTAATATAAAAAGTATATATATATATATATATATATATATATATATATATATATATATATATATATAACTCATTTAAAAAAAAATATTGACTCGATTAATAAAATACTTTATCTAAAAATATATACCTAAACTTTTAAACATTTGAATGGACTTTTTAATTTAAAAAAAAAATAATTATAAAAAATAATACATTTATTATTATTTTTTTTTTATAAAATTTTTTAATATTTCATTTTAAATATAGTCTTAATACTTTAAAAAAGTTTCATTAATACCCTTTTAACTTAAAAAAAAAATCGAAAATTATTTTACCGTCACACTTCTTATAAATTATTTTTAAATTTTTTAATATTTATGAGTATTTTTCATACGTGAGATTAATAAAATGGTATTTTAAAAAAAATTCAAATATATTTTTGAGTTTTTAAAAATATTTAAAGATATTAATAAAATGGAAAATTTTTAAATCATTTTTAAAGTTTAAATGTATTTTTTTTCGAATGAACTAATTTAGCATATAATAAATATATATTAACTATCATCATGTTAATTAGTTTTGGTTGAGTTAACTAGTAGAATCCAATTTCAAATTTCAAATATTAATTAAGAATCAAATTTAATTTCGAGAATGAAGATGTCATCTTTAAAATCTTAACGACTCGAAATTAAATTCAAATCTTAAAAATAAAAATTATTAGTTTTAAAAATTTACGAATTAAATAGAAAAAAATATATTTTACCTATGAGGACATAGGACAATACATTTAAAATATAATAATAAAATTGAAAATTGAAATATAAAATTTTGTATAAATCCTAAATATTAATATAGATTGATTATTCAAAATCCAGTATGAATAATCATTACCTAAATGCTTCAACTAAACGAATATTGAGACCAAAGCAAACTCCAACTAATTATTTCACATATTCATTAAAAAAAATTAATTGAATTCATTTAAAAAATGATAATTAATATTTTATCTATCAAATTATTTTTGAAGGGAATTATGCCGTAGATTCAAATAAGTTTATTATTATTTAGCAACAATATATTTAGCGTGTTTTACACACTGCATTCAAGAATAAGTGCAAGGATGAAGAATGTCAACCATGATCCCACGATCTCTTCTAGTGATAAGGTCACATCAGCCCTTATTCGAAATAAGGATGATGTTCTTACCCTAAGACATTTGATCATCAAATTAACTTTAATATTACTTTTCCTCGTAGTGATTCTTTATTATTAGGGTTAAGTGTTCTTATCTTTCTTTAGTTAAATTCTATATAGTTATTGTAGGCTTATAATCATTTTTACTTGTGAAGTGATTTGAATCTATAACGAGTGTTCTTGTCTTGAGATATTTTATTTTTCTGGTTAGATTCCTTACCACATTCTCTAAACTTTTACTAAACCAATTCTTTGATCTAACTTAAGGTTCAACTTAAGATTTAAGAACCGGTGTGACAAGCACTACATCAGCACGCAATCTTGTTCTTTTTAAGAGTTCTTCCATCAAACAAATTTATCATTACTATTACAAGAGGTCACATAAGATCAACGAGATTTCTTAATCATTAAACTAATAAATTTTAGTCGAAGTATATTAATTATTTAGGTCAAATTAAAGTAATGATTTGAAAATTTTAATTAAAAAAATAAATCTCCCACATATGCATGTATCTGTTATTTTAAATTTTCTTTAGCCTCCAACAAATATTAGAAAATAATTTGTTAAAAGTCAATATATGACATAAACATTGCAGGCTAATCTTAGTTTAAATGAGTAAACAATGCTTAATGAACTTACTAATTTTTTAAACCCATTTCTGAAAATTCTTAAAAAAAAATATACATATATATATATATATATATATATATATTTCTAAAAAATTTGAAAAATAAAAAAATTAATGATAAATAAATAATATAAAATAAAAAAGAAAAAAAAGGTCAAGAAGAAGCGGTTTTGGGGGTATCCACTTTATTTTCCCTCCTCCGTCTTACCTTTTGGGTCTCAAAATAATAATCAGAAGACGAGACGAAGGGCTAGAGAGAGAAACTAAACGCACAAAGAAAGGGGCATTCTAGAGAGAGAACGAGAAAGAGAAAGAGAGGAGAGAGAAAACCGTGTTGAAAGACCGTTCTGACCTCCGTGTCCGGCTGCTTCTTCTTCCTCCTCCTCCTCTTCCTCCTCTCTCTTCCGCCCTCTCCCCGTTCCCACCATGAATGAGAAGGCCAACGTCACCAAGGAGCTTAACGCCCGCCACAGAAAGGTACCTTCTCCCTTTTCCTTTTCCTTTTCCTTTTCCTTTTCCTTTTCCTTTTCCTTTTCCATCTTCTCATGTCTTCTTCGGATCATGAATCTTTTCACTATTGAATTTCAAGTTGAATTTTCTCGTCTAACTGATGCTCGCTCTTCGTTTGGTTGGCTGGTTGTTAATCAGTTGAACCGAGATGTGTTCTGTTGTTTTCGTTTTTTGGTTACTACGTTTGAATTCGATGTTATTAGGTATAGATTTGGATTCTTTTGTATGTGATCGAACGAAATGGTTATGGATTTGAGTTGCGGTTCGTTTGATCTCCGTGTTTGGATCAATTGCATTTTATCCGACGTTTAGATTACCTATTCGTTGTTTTGGTTTTGTCTTCTTGCTGTCTTTTTGGTGATTTGATTGAATTTTCTCTGGTGGATTTCAGTATGTTGTTTCTCGATGCATCTGATTCAGGTTATTACAGCGACTGCTTATGAGTTTGAGTATCGTCATTTTGTGATTTTGATTCATCTTGTCCATATCAAATTTCTTCTATCGTTATTGTCCCGATTATAATTCGAGAGTTGTACTTGCAGACAAGAACCTTTTTTTCTTTTAATCAGCAAAATGTTACTTTCATACCGTAGAAATAATAATTGGTTTAGTGAGGGGTCCGTGTGGAAGGAAGGAATTGAACTCGCCATTTAAATATGTCTTAGAAATGACGAAAATCTTTTAATTAAATTAGTGTCCTTGGAATGAAGGATTTGGCTTTTACCGAATCCCAGTTGTTTGGGGATTTAGTGGTACAAGATATCAGATACCGACGTATTTTATAAAATTCATTCACAATCGTTTTATAAAACTTACTTCGAGTCTCATTGCATCATACCTTTACTTCATAACCATGGCATGGAACAAAATATGGAAAGTTTTATTGTCATCAGTTCTTTGTTCCCGAATAATTTCATGACGGTATAATATGTAAAAGACTGAGAAGTACCTTTCCCTTTTTTCTATGACCTGTAGCAACAAGTTGATAGTCTATATGCATGAGTTAGGAGACGAGTACGTCCCTTTACCTCCAAAGAGTTGTTTTTTTCTTGGAAAAGAGAGTTATTCTATCATGAGCTGCTTGCATTCGTATCTTCTTAGTTCTTATCAGCATATGCTTAGCTTTTCTGGAAATATGGATGAGGATTTTTTTTCTTGTGGTTCCTCAACTGCCAATATTTTCTCTGTTTCATAGTTGCTAATCGGATACAGAGTCAAAGACATTTTAACATCAGCATTTTTAGCTGTACTTGTGTTTGGTAATTATGTAGATTAGTAATACATGGGAAGAAAGATTTTTAAAGTTGTAGACTTTAAAATTTTGTGTCCAACACACACATTTTTTGTTATGGTTGCTCCTTTACTTACACTTATTAACAATCTGGTTCTTTGGTGAAATTCTTACCTTTTATACTCTTATTATGTGCAGATATTAGAAGGGCTTCTTAAGTTGCCAGAGAATAGGGAGTGTGCTGATTGCAAAGCTAAGTATGTTTTCTCAATTCTTTATCATTCTCACTGTTGCTTTGCTGAAACAAGTCTTAGTTTACACGATAAATAGCCCAATGCTATTTATTGGTTGAATAAATGCTTGACAGTTGATTTCTGTTTTTCAGGGGACCACGATGGGCTAGTGTTAATTTAGGCATTTTTATATGCATGCAATGTTCTGGTATCCACAGAAGCCTTGGTGTTCACATATCGAAGGTAGTGTTTTGCTTTATGTATGGCTGAGGAAAAATGACTCTTGGCTCCCTTGTAAATACTGGCGATATTTGATTTTCATATGGGATATATTATTGAGTATAGCTAACATATGTTTGTTTCTAGCTTCTTAATAATTTATTTTTCTTGACCATAAGTGCTTGTCTTTTGGGTCAAGATTTTTAATGATTATATTTTAGAAGTACCTCTTGGCTATTCATCTTTTATCTTGATTGGAACCTATTCTTTATGTGTCTCTAGGTCCCTGGTAATTGATTCAATTGTTGGTTTTTATCCTTTGAATAACTTCACCTTGAGTAACTCTATTTGGCTAGCCATCAATATATGTTTCAAAAATTTTCAGCTTCTAGTGATCTATCTTTCAACTTCTGGGCATTATTCCTTTTACATCTCTTGTATGCTGGCAATAGTGAGTATGGTTTGATGGCTCTTGTTTGCAGGTACGGTCTGCTACCTTGGACACTTGGCTTCCAGAGCAGGTTACATTTATACAATGTATGCTCTTCGACCTACAGTTTATTTGTTTTTTGTTCAGCCAATATTGATTTCTTTTCTTACCGAGATTGTGTTTGTGTAGCAATGGGGAATGAGAAGGCAAACAGTTATTGGGAGGCGGAGCTACCTCCAAATTATGACAGAGTTGGGATTGAGAATTTTATTCGTGCAAAGTATGTTTGGATTTAAAAGCTAGATTAACCTATTAACATTTTCTTACAATACAACTATAGCTGCATTTGTAATGTCTATCAGTATCTTGACGTCCAAAAGTACTCTGCGTTATACAAATTTTACAGGTATGAAGATAAGAGATGGGTTTCTAAGGATGGCAAACCAAGATCACCTTCTCAAGTACAGGAGGAAAGGCCTTCTTTGCATGGGCAGAGGCCTGCGGAAAGAAGTGGATCAGGGTATTCAGGCCATTCTGAAAATTTGTTCGAGGAAAGGAAGAGACTTCATACACATAGTGTGAAAGAGAGTATACCTGCCGCGAGAGTTAGTCTTCCTGTTCCTCCCAGAGGACCTGAACAAGTATGCTGACTTTTCTTCCTCGTTTATTAACTTCCCTACTTAACAATTGGATGTTTCTAGTATGAATTTTTAACGAATTTCATCATGCAAAAATTACTTTTGATTTAGGACATGTTGGGGAAGAGGAAAGATAAATGTGGAAACTATGAAATGTAAATTAGTTTGTACCTAGAAGTTCATTTCATAATATTACTTCTGTACTTATAAATAACTAATAAATGTTTAATTGTGCTTATTATAACAGTTATACATTCAAAATTAGAGAGAATATGTATGCTGTTGTTTGCTAGGCCATCAATAATGTATTTAATAATGCACATATAGAAATGACGTTCATCATGGATTCTCCTTCACAAATGAGTCATTTTGGTTTTGGTCTGAGGACCAAACTGGGGGCATGTTTATATCCCGTCTGAGTAGAAACAGAAGCACACCAAAATCCCGTCAGGGTAAGTTATGGTGGCATTGCCTGAGCTCTTTTCAGGGTTTAGTGATCAATGATCTATTCAAGATTTACGTCTCAACGATAATGCTTATTTTTCCGTTGTAACTTTTTACGTGCTTTATTATTATTTCTGGTTTTTCTCCTCTTTGTGGTGTTTGTATATCTTTTAAGCTTTAGCGAAAATGAAAAGTTTAGTTTCTTGCTTTTAGCAAGAAAAATAAAAAATAAAAAACAACTAAAGCTTCAGCAAAATGTGGCAATAACTTCTAATGCATTTGTTTTCTATATTTGTACAGGTTGCTCCAGCCCCCAAACCATGCCAAGAGCCGAAACCAGAACCAGTTGTACAGCAAGCTGAAGCAACGAAACAGACTACAAATGATGCCCCAGCTGTCTCTCCAAAAGTTGATTATGCTACTGATCTTTTTAACATGCTATCCTTTGATGGCCCCTCTGATGATGGCTCAGCTGCAGTTTCTACAGATGATAGTTCATGGGCTGGTTTCCAGTGTATGTTTTAACTTTTCCTTGCCCAAGCATTTTTATATATTTCTGATTTTTTGGTGTGTGCTCAATTTTACAGCTGCTGAAGAAGCATCATCAGCAGAGAAACCTGCGCCAACAAAACCAGCTGAAGCCATTCCCCAGTCCACTTCTGGAATTGAGGATCTTTTCAAAGATTCAACCTTAGTTTCACCTTCTTTAGTTCCAGATAAACCTGTGAAAGATGTTAAAAATGATATAATGAGTCTTTTTGAAAAGGTAAATATTGCCTTGTCACCTTTAAGACTTGATATTATACTCTTCAGTAAAGTTTCTACTTTTCTCGCCACTTTTCCATTTTAACCTATGAGATTGAATTAGGTATTTTTACATCATGTTATTTTCAGTTGAAAGAGCAACTTTTCTTCTTTTATTTTAGTTTTAACTGAACTAAGCTATTAAGTTGTACAAAATTTAAATATGTTAAAAAACTACTTGATTAAAGAGAGTGTTTTGGGCTTCTACTGACAGTTGTATTTGATATTTTGATTTGACTATGTGCAGTCCAATATGGTCTCTCCATTTGCTATGCATCAACAGCAACTTGCCATGCTAGCTCAGCAACAATCACTTCTCATGGCTGCTGCAGCTAAATCAGCTGCTGGGGACGCAAAATTTAGCAACGCTCAACCCGCTGTCCTCAATGGTACCAATGTTCCGCCTCAAAGTTGGCCAAATGTCACCTACCCGATCCCTGGATTGATGATGCAAATGGGTGCACAGGGTGGGCTGCAAACTACAGTGCAGGTATCAGCAAGTGTTCTTATAATGTTTATTAGAAGCCAACTTAATTGATTCTCATCCACATAGTTTCTAATTGTTTTATATTTTGTGAGTTAGACAATGAACAGGGGGCTGGCAAATCCAGTTGGGAGTTCTGTTTCATATCCTACATCTAGGTATGCAATTATGTATCTTTGTATTCCAACGGATTTTCAAGTTCTGAAAGACTTTCAAAAGCTCCTATCCAAAAAATACTTCCAAAAGCTTTTTCAACTTGGGCTCTAGATTGTTATTTTTCATCGAAATTTTTTGCTTCTTTCCATTTTTAGAGATTTTTTCTATCAAGCGTAATGATGATGAATTCTGGAAACAACCAAAATCTGAAACTTAAGTGAGTGAATGAGATTGTCGGTTTCTTACAGCGGAAGAAATGCTGATGTCCGAAACATATTTGGTCCCTTATGTAAGATAAAAGATGGAAAAGGAAAAAGAAACCCCTTCAATTCTCCAGTATAATTATCATTATTAACAACAATTTGTTCGGTAAAATATGTCGTTGGATCTGTAAATAATAAAGATTTGAACATTGATTGGATGAATACAATCAAATAGATTCATCAATTCTTAAATATGATCAGCTAAAGTTCTCATATTCTTTCTTACAGCCTTTATAGCTTCGGTCAAGTTTCTTCAGTGCCGGTGAATGGTGTGAGCACCGCCACCACCAACACCCCAGGGAAAAACAAACCTCAATTGACCGCATCGGTGTCATCAGCGACTCCTTCACAGTCAGGAAAAGAGTATGATTTCTCCTCTTTAACCCAAGGTATGTTTTCAAAGCATTAAACTAGTGGTGCTGGAATGAGGATATAATGCTGCTGGGTATTTTTGGTGGTATACCAAGAAAATTAAGGCGCAGTAAGATAGCAGTGTCCAATTTTTCCACCTGTACTGGGGATTGTAAACTATTACTTGTAGAGGCAGTCTCAGTTTTCGTAATTTTATTGTTCCTTTTCGAGTGATTTCTTTAATTGTATGATGAGTAGCTTTGTCTTCACAAATAAAGGAGAGTAGATTTATATGATTTATCACCTACCTATTACCATTTTGTAGTTTGTTGCTTTATGGTGCTTGATTTTAATTTTCAGTTTTGCTTGTGATGAGTTCTTGGAAGTTTTGTTGGATAATTAGTAACTGCATTTGATTAGAAATGAACATTAGTTATATACTTGTATTTGGTCGGGAAAGGGTTTGTTCTTTAGAACTTCGTACGTCAATAGGGCGTTTTTTTTTTCATTTAAAAAAATAAATACAAATTTAGGGTAGTTGCAAAAGAAGTGTAAAAAGTAGTGTATATTGGACTTCGGTTAAGCTAACTATGTCCCATGTCTATGAGTTACTAATTGAATCGTGTTTAATGGTTGCAGTTTAATGTAAATCATGTATCGTGTATGTAACTTATATTTGGAAGTGGTACATGTGGAAGTAGAATGTGTCACATGACGTAACGAGTTCATGACACCTAACACGTGTTGCATATACATGAGTCTCACAATTGAATATGAATTTAAATAAATTGATAACTATTTAAATAAAATAGTTGAAAAAGCCATAAATATTATTGGGAATTCAATTTTTTTGGGGTTAAAATTAGTAAGAAATAACTGATTTATTTATAAAGATTTATTTTACATTCTTTAATTCTATAGACCATTGCAATCATGAAATTTCAATGGTAGAGATACATAAATTATTGTTATCCGAAATTAAAAAACAAAAAAGTTTGTATCACCTCAAATTTTACTACCAAACCTGTCTGTATTAAAAAAAAAAAAGAAAATGCAATTTTTAAAAGTCGGACGTTTTAGGCAAAAATGTAATTTTTTTCCGAAAAATAATGTTTAAAAAAAATAAACAAAGTAATTAATAATCGAATATAAATAATTGCAACAATTTTTGCTTTAATTTGGCCTCTTCCAAGCTCCATTAGGAGAACTTAGTATTAGGGGTGTACATCCAATTCGATAACCTGGACCAACCTAATCCAAATTATAGAAGTTGGGTTGGATTATTTTTCCTGAACCCGAATTGACTTGGTTCGTTTTCAGATTCATAGTTGAAACTCTGAACTAACTCGACTTTCTTCCCTCGAACCCTTCTTCTCATTTTCTAAATAACTACCTTTCTTAAGAAGTCTGTTAGTTTATGAATTGCCATTTTAAATATTTATTTTTTAAAAAAATTATTGTAATAATATTTAAAGTATTGAGTGTAAATTCAACCTCAATGAATCCAACTGAATTATAAAAGCTCTGTTAATTTTTTCTGAACTCAGTAAATACTATTATGTTAATTTGTGGGTAGATTCGAGTTTGTTGGACAAAATCTTCTCAGAAGAAGAGAAAAAAAAAAAAAAAAAAAAAAAAAAAAAAAAAAAAAAAAAAAAAAAAAAAAAAAAAAAAAAAAAA